AGTCTAGATTGCTTTTCCATCAAAATGACTACTGTGCCTGTGGGAACTTAGGACAGAAAGGCCAAAATGACAATTCATTTCTGAGAGTCAAGTCTGGAAAGATCATCATTGGGCAGCTTACTGCTGAAGAAGTTCAGCATCACCTCTATGTGTGTATCCTTATCAGGAAGATCCCAAGAAAGAGTTCAGAGTCAGAAACTTAATCAGGTTTTGAATCAGGTTCTCACAGGTTCACATATGAAACATGTACTGCAAGTAAGAGCTGTGAATAGAAGTCTATGGGACTTTGATGAGATGCATCCCAGAATCCTGAGGGAATTGCCTGGTGCAGTTCCCAAGCCACTCTCCATGATATTTGAAAACTCAAGTGAAGTCCCTGGTGACTGGAAAAAGGAAAACATCACTCCTATTTTTAAAAAGGGTGGAAAGTAGGACTCTGGGAACTACCGACCCATCAGCCTCACCTCTATGCCGGGGAAGACCATGGAACAGATCGTCCCAGAAGCTATGGTAAGGCACATGGAGAACAGGGAGGTGATTGGAGACAGGCAGCAGGGCTTCACCAAGGGCGGGTCCTGCCTGACCAACCTTCTACAATGCAGTAACTGCATCAGTGGTTGCCTCAGAAGATTTAGAGACAATCCCATAAACTGCCTTTGTTGGTAATTATACATTATAGTTTTTAGATCTGCATCAAGTAAGGGCATTAATTCACTGTGTGCCCTACTTTACTGTTTACCCTAAAGAATTTTGCTGTGGCAAAATTGGTTAAATGTGCAAGTGTTTTTACATAGAGTATCTTTTACACCATGTAAAATGTGGCAGGCACGAGCTTGGTCAAAGTTCACCTTAGCAAAGATCTTAATGAACAGCATTGCAAGAATAACAAAGAATATTCTGAATAAACTAGAGCCAAAATCTCTCAGCACTCCTACACATGGGAAAAGTTTTAGGAATGAGAAGCAAAAATTCACCTGCAGTTGTAATTACAATGAGCCAAACTCTGAGAAGAGTATAAACTACATTCTGCTGTGAACAGCCAGGCTTGTGTGGGGTTACAAGTCTGGGGTCAAAAAAATTAATTATCTAAATAGTTGTGGAAGTTCATCGGTGTGTAATTTGGTATCTGATCATAAGAGATACTTATGTTTCTCCCTGTACTCCTGGAATTCACACATTGCTGAGGCTGTCTTAATTTCTCAATGCTATTTTCTTTATAAATATTTTCTATTCTGAATACTGTGTTGCAGGGCCCTCTGGCTGAGAAATACAGAACTGGACAGGGTTCCCTTCAGAGCATTTCAAGATCATTCCTTAATTAGCTGGTAGATGCAATTTGATTTGAGAGACACAAAGTACTGGCTCTTTTTCAGGAGCCGTATGCCTTGTTCCTTTTCATAAGTCAAGATACCAAGCCCTGGCACCCCACCTGGCACTGATAAGTTTTATAGCTCAGGCACATGTCTGCATGTAAACACAATCTCTTACACAGAATCTCCTGGAAATTGTGATGGCTGTTTCACAAGGACTTAGGACACACTTGGGAAAGAACATGGGCCAACCAGCCAAAGGAGCAGTCTTATGACTGTAACAGGAACAGTAACAGTAACTGGTAACAATAACTTGAATCCTGAAAGATTCCTGAAGAGATTTGGAAAAAGAGAAAAGCACTTTTCTTCTATTAGTCTTGCCCAGTACCTGCAGGTACACAAATTCTGGGTATTTTCCCTCTCTTGCCTTTTAACCAATAAATTTATCTGTTGTATGTGCAAGATATTCAAAACTGAGCTTTCTTATGTAATATTTTTCTTTCAGTATGATTTTAAAAAAACAGTACCAGGTGGTTTAATTTAGCCATGCAATTTTTTTTTTAAGTCCACTTTTGAATCTGTTTGAGCTTAGGGCTGATGCTAATTCTCCACAACATTCAGTTGTTTATTCCCCAGCAAGTCATGCTGATAGAGATGCCAGCAGATGACTGAATTCCCAAGTTGAGCACATCACTGGAGTAAAACACGGCGTCGGGCTGCCCTCTGTGGGCCGGGATCGGGCTCTGGGAGGAGTTGTTTTGCAACAGCTCATGGAGACCGATTAATGTCAGTCCAAGATTTCTACATCTGAACATAGAATTTTGACTTATGCTATACATGCAATGGCAGTATCACAACTGGGGCTCTGCTGCGGAAGAGGAAGCAGGAAATGCAGACTGCTGCAGACTGCAGTGTCTGATGCAACAGTCAGGCACTCTGGGTACTAATCACAGCTCAATATACAGCACCTGGGAATTCCTGGGAGACCCAGACACTGGGGGTAACAGCTCCTGAACATAAAACCAGAGAAACTAAATCGCTAGAAATACTTCGCTTGGCACATGAGCTGCCAGGCAGGAATCAAGTACAGCATATTACAGCACTACTCCAAGATCTAATCAGGAACAGGTTCCATTATATTAGGCATATTACAAACACAGGTCTGCTTACTTCAGCATTGCACAACATGAGGACTTAGTGTCAAACTAGTCCAAATCAGCCTGAGGCAAAAGAACAGGGATGAGCAACAGAAATATTCCTGCATGACACTGGGTCTACTGCAGACCTCATTTTCTTTGCTCAGTCAGTAGTGCCTCCAGCTCAGTTCCTTAAAGGCTTTATCCAAGTACAGACGTTTGCTCCTATAGGGCTGATGACTCAGAAAAAATTACAAAGGATCAAGCTGCACATACTTTTTCTGGAAATGCAGTTTGGCTCAGAGTATACCTTCTGAACATGAAATTCTATGAGAAAGTGGAGAGGTAGAGGTGGCTCCCTCTACCCTCACCTGCAGATAAAATAATGCAATGGAGATGTACATGGTCACTCTCACCTCTGTGGAAACCACATGGGAATTCAATTAGTTGTCAAGAAGAGCCAGTCTCTGAATACAAGACTCTTCCTAAATTCATTGGGGTTTAGTTGTTGCAAAGGTGATGTAAAGATGCAAATATCATGTGGCATGAGACAGCCACAGGGGTACGTCAATGTCTTTATAAACTCAAATCAGTCCCGTAGCTTCAAATAACATAATTTGAGAACCAAGCAGGACAAGTGAACTGCTAATGATGGGCTGTCATGTGTAGCAAGCAAAGCTCTTACAAGCCAAGTAATACACAGCAGTTAAGCCCAGAGGCAATATTACTAGCTGACATACTAGTTCATTCTACACGGGATACACAGGGTTATTTTTTTCCCTAAAAACTTTCTATGAAGGAATCTCTCTAAATCCTGCTGCTTTGTGTCCCAGAGGTTAAGCCAGGTCAGCTGCGCTCTCTGCTGGTGAGAGCTGGAACTCTCGGGATTCAGTGGCCACCTTCCCGATAAACAACAGATGGAGAACATCGCTGGAATTTTGTCACTCAACTTTATGGGTAGTGAACGCTGGAGAGCGTTGTGACACTAGTATTTGGGCCCTTCTAGATAACTGTGCTATCAATAATTTAAAATTAATCATGAAGCCACTATCGAGTGCCTTGCAACATAAATATTTTAGACACTTGCTTCAAAATTAAGACATTTTACTATGCCAAAATTTCACGTAAGACTCCCTAAGAGATTTCAATTATGCCTCAGGACAGAGATATGTGAATTGAAACTCTAACAAAATCTTACTTTTAATTGTGGACTAATGAGAAAGAGAACTCTGATGAAAGCTTCTATACTTGCATGGTACTAGTGTGCCTGGATTAATTTGCATAACTCATACAGACTATCAAGATCAGCTTTTGCTTATGATTAAACAGATTATCTGATGACATTTTAGGGATCAACAGATTATAGCCCTTAATCTAAAGATGTAAGTAACAATGAAATCTTATTATGCATTAGAAAACAAACAATGCAGTCAGAGCTTATCTGAACATTAGTTGGAAATCTCTCAGTAGGGTCAAGGCTAAGCACCTGAATTCTCCCCAGAAACACAAACAGATTCTGGTTGCCAGACTTCTCTCTCTGCAAACTCTCAGATGAAATACTGAGGGAACCAATTTATAGCAGACAAACAGTCAATTATTTTGTTTCCAGTATTTCAGGGCAACATCCAGTTTTATGTCTATTTATAACATAGACTTTTGCAGTCATTAGTGTTGCAATACAGCATAAACTCAGTAGTCTATCTTTAATCTCTTTGCTTCAGCTTCCACTACCACAAGAACAAGTAAACTTGTGCTCCTGCTAACCTGCAGACTTCAGTGAAATTGGCTAAGGTCTAACTGGTCACATTCAAGTGTATTTTATTTGGTTTCAGTAATTTATTATACGCTACCATTTGCAGACACCCTGTTGCAGAACATTCATATATTTACTTATGGAGGAAAACCTGGATTATAATGCTTCCAGTGGAATAGAAACATTTCAGGAAAACATGATGTGTTTGGAAAATAAATGTCTCATTTCACTGATAACATGTACTTCTGACCTCCTCGTGGTCTCCTTTACAAGCCATTATATAAGATAAATCAGGGTACAGACAGTGTAACTGAAGCACAAACATAAGCAATAGCTACTGGGCAGGCAATATTTGCCTGGTGTTGAGTCTTCCACAGTATCGGTGAATGTTGGTGTCAGAAGACACTTGCAGATGTGACAGGTAAGCAGTAAGAAAAAAGATTAATCACTAAGAAGTTTGTAACCTATCAGAAGACAAATGAATATCTGCACATAAGGAGCAGATGTGCAGATGTGGAGCAGGATACACATGCCAGGAAATGCCTGAAAATGGGATTTATGAAATACTGCATGAGCTGATTACATGGTGCTGCCAGCAAATCAGCAAGGAGGGAGCCAATGCACACAGATGAGAGCACAGACAACCAGAAATTCATGGTAGAAAATGACCTGAGTTTCACTGCTTGCTCTTCAGTATGTAATGCACAACATGCTTGCTTTCTGTAATAAAGTCCAGAATCAGACAGGTATGAAGATGAAGTTAACAATCCCTTTAGCCCTCCTAAAAAGCAGAGATCATGCTGAGCCACTAAAACTTCATTCTTTATTTCATCCAAGTAGTCACTGAAAACATAGATGTCAATCTGATTATTATAAACACAATAAAATCCAGAATATCAACAGATACTGGGCACAGCTCTACTTGCAAGTTTTCATCCTAGGATACAAAAATGCACCTTCCAAATTTTCAGCTTCTCTGAAGTGAAAGTCCAGACTGCAGGAAGTTCTTCTGTAATGTAGACAAATGCATCCATTAGACACTGGCTTGATGCCATCAATCCAAATAGCAGAGAAATTTTCAGATAGAAAGGCTAGCCAATTATCTCACTCTCTCACTCCATCTAAATTGATTTAATCTAGACAATTTCATTAATTTGTAAGAAGGAGAAAAGTTCCCAAAAGCTCTATCAATTAGAATAGCCTCACTTTAACACTGTCTTCTCACATTGAAGCAAAACACTAACTCACTGCATGTATTGCCCCAAAAAAAGAACTACCTTGCCAAAAAAACCCCAACACCCTCAAACCATCAGAACTCTGCTCTCAAGGGTGCTAAAATAGGTAGTAATACTTGTGTTTATTTCAGTGGAAACATTATAAAGCATGAGCAGGTGAAGATGTATTGTTGCATGTGATATGACACTGGTAGCTCGTCCATAACTGCATCATCTCCAATTAAATCATCTCCAGTGAGAACAAGAAGTATCCAAACAAAATGTAACCTTTGCTAAGTTCTTCTGCACTGACACTGGTGAAATAATTTTTCCCTTAGTTTCCAGTGATTTGCATTATTACTGGTCTGTGAATATTTATCCAATATTCCCAGCAGTGAGAAATACATACATACACTTGAGAAACTAAGAGACTACTTTAAAAAACATTCAAAAAGTATATCTATAATTTGCAATAGATATAAGCACTACAGGCTGGATTCTGCATGTATGGCTACACATTCAAGCTCAATCTATTGGTAAATAAATGCAGGCTTATGTGCAGAGACTCAATTTGTTTAATAAGCTTAGGAATAATCATTTAACTGTGGTATTTTCTTTGTTTCCTCTACTGAAAGGCATTTCACATTGAGAAGTCCTAATAAGAAGTCACTTTTACAATCAAAATCTTAATTTCAACAGCTATGAAATGTTCTGTTTAAATAATAATGAATTTATATACATAAGGCTTTACCTCACCATCTGTAATTCTGTGACTTATGATTTTCTAAATTGTTAAGCACGCTTAGGAATACTCTCAGAGTTATAAAACTGTCTCTTTTTATATCTTCATGATATCTTACTGTTTCTTTATTCATTCTGCTGCTCAGAAATGGGAAGGCCCAGGCACATTCAAAAGACATTTTTTCAGAAACAAACAGATTGCAAAGAGCATCTTAAATTACCATGTTCTCTTAGACACCCTAATCAAGTACGTGTGCCTTATATCCACATTTTCTTCTGAAATGATGCAGGCTCCAAAACGGTATCTACGGTGAGAAAAGGGGAAGGTGCTCATTAACATGGTAAATGGCATCACACTGATGGGAGGAAAGCTGTACCACTACTGTGGTTGTGCTGACAAAATTTGCATTACAACTCATCTTTAACTTTTTAATGAAAGCAATTTTCAAATAAAAACCATACAAGCAGGCTGAAAGTAACACTTGAACTATACTTATATAAAAATAATAATATAAATAAAATAAATAGCTAAGTATTACATATTAAAATATACATAAACATTAATAATAATCTGGATTATTGCGAAACTATAGTCGATGACACTTAAATTCATCTGAAGACAGGTTTGTCTCCTAGAGTACACTTAAAAAGTCTAACAGAACTTTTAATGTTAAATGATAGAAGATAGGCACCTTCCAAATGCAGCATCTATCCAGTTAATAATTACCTAAACACAGAGATGGTACATGTGTTTCACCATGTGACTATCCACACAGAAAATTTACATTTCTATATGAACATCTATAGAATAGAACTTGACAAACCACGAGTAAGCAGATTTTAAAAACCCAAGAAGTAACACCTTTTAAATTCTTGTTATTTTATATATATGGATTTTGAGAAGGAAATAGCTAGCCCTGCAGCAGAGGTGTCCACATACAACTACTGTTTACTTCCATAGAGTACCTGGACTGTAGCTCTGTGCCTGCAAAGTGCAGAGGTAGTAACAGCAACCAGTACAGCAGAATCATGGTAAGACTTTATCACAGGGTCAACAGTCATAGTCTGACTTCCCAGGTGACACAATTTAAAGAACAGAAGTTAAAGAGTAGTTTTGTCATGTCTTTGGATTCATCTCTCTCTGCTTTCTCTTAGCATATGAGGAAGTTGGTGTTCATTCATCTTAAAAAATTAATGAGGCAGCTTTTCTTCATTTGGTACTACAGGTTCTCTTCCTTTTCCCCTACTAGTCTTTCACCTTCCCAACATTTCACTCTTTGCCGTGCCAAAGCAATCTTGTTCTCCTAGTGCCCAAATATTATCCCATGAATTGCAGCTGTTCCCAAAACATCACACCACTTGCTAGCTACATCCATTAACCTCTGCTCACCCCACCTTACCTCTGCTTTTTGCATGGCACTGGAAAATGGCAGGGATGATCTTTTTCTTTGAAGTATTTGGTTTGGAGGTGAAATAAACCCATCTTTGTCTCTTTCTCTCTGGAAAACAAATAAACAAACAAACAAAATAAACAAAAAACCCCCAGTGAAATGGGTAATGTGCTCATTGCCATAAGCCCTCTTAGATGTGGTTCTCTGCAAGCCCCAGGCTAACCACAGTCAGACAGGACCATGCCACCCATTCAACCTGCCTTTCACCCAGCAGCAAGATTGAATCATTAAGGTTGGAAAAGACCTCCAAGATCCTCAGGTCCAACGTTTGACCTCACACCACCATGACCACTAAATCATATGGCAAAGCGCCACATCCACTCATTTGGTGGTGACTCTACCACTTGTCACTGACTTTCTGAGCTTACCACCCTTGTGCTGCTTTGTGGACAGCTGGGCATGTCATCGTATCCTTGAGGATCTCACCGTCCCTGTGGACAGTGACAGACCCAAAATGTTCCAGTAGACGGCAATCTGGGCCTTTGGCCATCCATGCCAGGGCTGTTCCGCATCTGTACCATGCTGGTAGGCGGGTGGAGGTGGCGGTCTCCCCACTCCCATGATTGCGAGAGGCACATGTAGCCCCAGAGACCTTTGTGGGAGCCTGATGGCAGCGTCTGGGCACAGGGACAGCAGAGATGGGTGCCCCTTCCCCTCACCTGAGCCAGTGTATACCCAGGCGGCCAAGAAGACAATGGCATCCTGGCTGGGATCAGGAATAGCGTGGCCAGCAGGACCAGGGAAAGGCTTATCTCTCTGTACTTGGCACTGGGGAGGGCACACCTCAAGTGCTGTATCCCTGGGCCCCTCAATTCAGGAAGGCCATTGAGGTACTGGAGTTTGTCCAGAGAAAGCAATGGAGCTGAGGAAGGGTCTCGAGCGCAAGTCCTATGAGGAGTGGCTTAGGCAGCTGGGAGTATTGAGTCTGAAGAAAAGGAGGCTCAGGGGTGACTTTATCACTCTCTACAACTACCTGAAAGGAGGTTGTGGTGGGTTGGGTATCATTCTCTTCTCCCAAGCAATGAGCAACAGGACAAGAGAATATAGTCTTAAGCTGTGTGAGGGGAGGTTTAGGTTGAACATTAGGAAGAACTTCTTCACAGAAAGGAGTATTAGATATTGAAATGGGCTGCCCAGGGAAGCAGTGGAGTCACCTTCCCTGGAGGTTTCAAGGAAAGAGTGGACGTGGCACGTGGTGCCATGGTCTGGTTGACCTGGTGGTGTTCGGTCATAGGCTGGACTCGATGATCTCAGAGGTCTTTTCCAATCTAATCGATTCTGTGATTCACCTCCCTGCCCGGGAATTGCCCGCAGAGGCGGGGGCTGGCTCGGGGCTCCCGGGGCTCGGTGCCCGCTGCCAATCTGGGACAGGCGGCCCGGGCGGAACGCGGCTGCTCCGGGCGGAGCGGATGCGGGCGGGCAAAGGCACGGCAGGGCCGGGCGGCGTGCGGGGTGTGGCGGCCCCTGCAGGCACCCGGAGCCTCGGCAGCCGCCGCCGCCGCGCCGCGGTGTCCAAGTGCCACGGTTGTCCCGCCGGGGAGCGAAAGCAGCGCCCGGGCCGCCCGCCCGCCCGTATCCCTCGCGGCGAAGGCCCCGCACGCAGCCCCTCCACCGCTGGAATGCGGCGGCGGCGGCCGCAATCGAGGAGCTCTTCGCGGTCTCCCGGCAAGCGGCTGCTGCTAGTCGCGGGACAGGATGTTCTCCAAAGTTCACCTCTCATCCTGCAGCACGCCGTGGTAAGGCCGGTAAGGCCGCCGGCGGGCCCCGGCCACGACGCGCCGGGGCTGCGAGCCGGGCCTACCGCCCGAGAAGCGGGGCAGCGGGAATCGGAACGGGCCCGGAGCCCCTTCACCGCCCGCCCCCCGGGCTGGCCGCCGGCCGGGACACGCGGGGCGCGGTTCCGACCCGCTTCGCCCTGCCGCGTGGGCCCGGGGAAGGTGGAGGCCGAGGGGAAGGCTCCTGCGGGGAGCGCGGGAGGAAGCGATCGCCCAGCGCACGGCCCACTGCAGAGCCGGGGGTGCCGGGGGAGGACGGAGCGGCGCGCTGCCCGGTGCGGCCCCGGCTGCCAGCTTTCCGCTGTCAACCGCCGGGCGAACTGCCTGGGCCCCTGAGGGCAGCCCCGGTGCCCGCCCTACACCGGCCGTGCCTTTCGGCGAGACAAACAATAATAACGGAGGTGAAATCAGGAAGCTCCTCAGAGGATCTTTCCATATTGTAGCGGCCAGCAGACAATAGCCGCCGTCTCCGGTGCTTCTGCGGGACTGTGTCACTTTCCCAGTGACGTTTTTCACCTCCGGTTTATTGTCCCGCTGGCCGGGGGCACCCGGGGCTGTGTTTGTGCCCCGAGCTGTGCTGGGCCTGTTTGTGAGCTGCCATTGCTGCAGGCCGCGTTCGGCTCTGCCTGTCCATACCGCTTATTTTTGTTTGCTTTTTGCTGAGGCGGGGTCCTGGTGGTGATTCCCTGCCTTTCAGCACCTCTCCCAGTAAGCCAACACACCTCCGAGACTTGAATGTGAAGAGATGCTAAAAGCTGGCGGTGAAATATTGCTGGGAGTGAAGGTGGAAAGTGTTGGAGGAAAATTGTTGAAATGGTTGCAAAAAGAGCTTGCAGGCTAAATCCTGATGGTTGTAAGAAGAGCCTGCATGCCAAATGCTGCCTCATGTGAGGGGCAGCCTTTGTGCATTAATGTATGCTTTGTGCATTAATGTATGCTTCGATACTGCACTGGAGCACATCCTTGGCTTTATGTGTGCCTGTGGATCTGTAGGAGTATTCAGTTTTAAAAGTTAGGCATGTATTAATTAATTGCAGTTTGCTCTTTTAGTGGTGAAGTGGCATTTGGAAAGAAATGTTTTAAATAATGACAAAATATCTTATTTGAAAACACTCTGACCACATGAGAATGCCCTCAATAGACAGTGCTTTCTTTGGAGGGGAAACAGAAATTAGTGCCTGCCTGACTAAAGAAAGCTTGTTATGGTGAGCTGTGCCACATATTGAGTGAGACCGGATGACTGAGAGATGCAGGAGTGAAGGAGAATTTACTGTTTCAGGCCTACCAATTCAAGAGATCTAATAGAAGTTATTCCTAGAGGAATGTTTACATTATTGATGTGTGCAAAAATTAACAAAAAAACCTGCATTTATTTGAGATCCATAAAAAGAAAAATAGGAAAAACGAATGAGCTAAATGGAAAAGGAGAAAAGTAGAAATAGTAGGGACTAGACAATCTTTTGATAAAAAAAGAAAAACAAAATACAGAAACAGATTGATACTATCATTTTGCAAGTTAGTGCAGTCGAACAACATGCTATTTGTCCTTACTCGACTCTGGTGTCCCTTTTGGAATTGCCTCATTCTGCTACCACCAACGTGATGGATCTCCTGATAACAAATACTGCACTAAATTGCATTTACAGAGTTGTGACAAATACTGAGCACCACACACTGGGAATGAGACATGGACTCACAAAAGCAAGAGGATATTAAGAATGTTTCTTACTGGATCTAGAAAGTTTAACTCACCAATTCAAGACTGAACTGAGAAATAGAAATTTTTCACCAGTTTGGGGGCTGTATGTGACTTAAAGTGGTTTCATTCTGTCTGTAATGAAAGTATGTGGGCTGCTTGGCTTTGCTATGCTGAAAATGAAAACTAGTGAATCCCAAATATTAGATAAGTCCACTTTGATGCTGCCTGCTGTTTTCAGAACCTAGAGAATTGCTGTTATTACTGTGGAGCAAATGTAGCTTGTGCAGCCCCAAGTGGACTCTGAACCCTGAATATCAGCAGTGGAACTCGTTACTAAGATATCAATTCTCGAAGGTTTTGGGTACCTGCCTCCCATAGGAATTCAGTTGCAGCTGAACAATTTTCAGCTGAGCTGGACACTTCAATACACTTGAAGAGCCTGGGCTTAGATGTCATGGGTGGGACTACTTTAAATCAAAATGGTTGGTGAAGCCCTTCTCCCCTGTCCTTTCTCCTGCACATCACTTACATAATGCTCCTGCCCTGCCTCAGGGCCCACAGGCCTACAGACTTTAGAGAGATGCATTTAAACAGTGCATTACTATGCTGTTAGATAATCATTGCTGTCTTACCCTCAGTGTACCATCCCTCTGAACTCTTGACAAGGAGTTCCAAAGGTTGACATTCTGATAGACATGGCAGTATTTGCCTTTTACTTGTTGTGAATGTATCACTCTTCAGCTGACTACCTTTGTGACAGGACTGTGCTGAGGCAAACATAAGGGATCAGCTGCTTTTTATTAAGACCTTTTCATACCAGGACTTTTTCCCGGAATGGTTATGGTGGTGTTCAAGGCCAGGCTGGATGGGGCTTTAAACAACCTGGTGTAGTGGAAGGTTCCCTGCCCATGGCAGGGGGATATGAACTAGATGGTCTTTAAGGTCCCTTCCTACCCAAACCAGTCTATGATTCTATGATTCTACATTGAATAACCCAAAACTTTCATTTTTTTTCTACCTAAGTTGCCCAAGTGTTTGAAATCATATTCACGATTTTCATTACAATTGAATTCTAGTTTTTGTCACCTCTTCTGTCAACCCTGCCAGTATTTTAGGTATTTTTTCACTTTCTGGATTTCTCTGCAGCATCCAGATGAGCAAGCGCTACTGTGTTACTGTGCTGACAGAGCACCCTTAAATTGGGTTGGGTGAGTTGGTAAGAATGGTGGACAGGACTGCAATCCTTGTTCTGTTACCTTACTTCAGGGCAAAACAGAAATGCTGTTGCTTCATGGGGTTAATATTATTGAATCTATGACAGTTTATGTATGGCTTGTCCTCGAGATGTTTTCTGTTTGCTGTGCATTTCTGATATGCTTTTATCCCAAAGGGCTATCCATGAGCGCTACATTCTCAGTAACAACAGAATGTAGTGTACAGTAACAAAGCAGCAAGTTAGACTTCTTTTTCTCTTATCTTGTGCTCTTCACTCATCTTTCCCTGGACAAAATATTTTGTCTGTAAAGTGGCCAGTCACTGTTCAAAGGGTTTTTGTTTGTATTTGATTTTGGCTTT